GTTCTATGCATTCATTTCTCTAAGTTAGAATCAAAAGGTGTTCTCTACTTTCTTGTGGAGATGTAATTAAGGGGAACAATCAGTATGATTCCCTGAATGGGCCTTAACCAAAATAATAAAAACCCAATCGCTTGATTGAGTGAATTATGTTGCATGAGAATTTATTAAAATTTTCACACCAACAATCTATTATAGGGTAGGGGTTTTCACACCAACCCCCACCCAGGCCAGTTCCAGGGTCTAGGGGTTTACATTATCCGAACCGACACGATGAACTGGCCTTGGAACTGAACTTGCCTTGAAATAAACCCCAAAATACTTTTTGGGGTGTGAAGATTTGAACCCAAGCACTCATGGTTACAAAGGCCATGGTCTCACTTGACCATTGAGTTACTTAAGTGATTTGATCATTTGTTTTTATTTTAATATTTGAACGTGTACAATAAGTAGTGTAAAAGGTAATATTTACAAAATTTAATTTTAAATTATAAGTTTTGAACCATATAATGATAATCTACATATTAAGTTATCCAATTTAATCAATAAAGATAATATAAGTTTTAAACTATATATTATATTTATTAAAAATCAAGTTTTTAAAGAACATGCCTTTTTTTTTTTTGAAGGGGGAGTGTAAAGAAAGTACAGGTTCCATGGGTAGACCTTGGAATCGACCCCATAACCACCAAGGCCAGAACCGACCTTCACAGGGTAGGTTCCGGTTCCAAAATCCTGGAACCGACCCCTACAGGGTAGGTTCAAGGTTTTGCCATGAAACCTAACCGAACCGGCCCATGCTCACCCCTAATGCTGGGTCTATATAACATATACAGTCCAGCTTGAGGGGGACTGTTGATCGAGCTATTTTATGTTAAGTCTTGGGAGGCAGGCCCATGCTCCAGTCCTTAAATTATTATAAACAGGGCCACTATTGCCCCTGCACTTATTTTTCATTAATATATATGCTGGGTTGACTTTCTTAGAGAGATTGGACTCTAATCTTCTCTTCTAAGAGAGGTTCGGCTGTTTCTCGTAGCCTTAATATCTCTTTTTCTTCTTCCTCTATTCTCTTTCTTTTTCCTGGTCCGGATACTAATACAGCTTTGTTACACAATAGCTGCTTGTTTGGTTGGATGTCAAACACGAGTGAGGTGAAAAACCTAGAGTAGTAATTCCTTCAACTATGTATGCTGTGACCAGAGAATCGTTCTTGTGCTGATTCAGTAAGTTGACCCTTTCATTCTATCCTCTTCCTTAATCCATTTCCAAGTTGCTCTTTTGAACTTTTGATACATGCATTTTACAGCCCTGCTAACTTTAATCCAATTCTTGGGATTCAATTACTTATTATAAACCCTAAACAATAACCCATTTTCATTCCTACATTCGAACCCTGCATTACCATTTATAGTACCAGTTAGCCAGTCATAGGTAAAGTAGATTGCCATCTTATGTGAACAAGATGCCATGAGCAAGTCTATGACCACCACTGATGGGAGCCACATGTCCATCCATGTGGAGAAACAAGGATTGAGTTGACATACCTCTGTCCCTTTTCAATCCAGTCTGTGTTCTCTCATGTGAATGGAAATGTGTGATGTACATGTTGAGATAGTCTTATTTACAGTAAATCCAGTCTCACATTTAAGTCCATATTCTTCCCCCTTATAAGGATAGTATTAATATGAAAACTGCTTTTTTAGTTGCATCCTTTACAACCCTTAGTTGTTTCTAGCACATGGCTCCTAACAGCATTTGCAAATGCAATTTATCCTGCATTACCATATAGATTCTGCATACTAATTGTTTCTTGATTCTTTTTACCAAAAGGAATGTGGAATTTTCTAATTTCTTTTTTCTTGAGAAAAATAAGAGACAATACTCTAGACCTATGATTGATGAACTTGGATGGGTGAAAGTAGATAAAATTGGTTCAACTTATGACTTATCATGCTTGTCTTTATCAGAATACAGTCCACCAGATTTCTTTTAGTTGTTTAACTTTCTAAACCCTAGCTTCTTTTTCATGACAAAATTAAGTTTCCATACTACAGTAACATATAAGGCTAGCGTTTTTTCCCAATCGAGTTCTGGCCAAATGGCTGGAAATAGAATTTTGGAAATTATAGTTATGAGAGCACCAGAGACAGCTTCTCTGCATGTGCAGGGGTAAGGCTGTTTACATCTATCCCTATCCAGACACTGCATTGGTGGGAGCCTTGTGCACTGAGCTGCTCTTTTTTATAGTTATGAGAGCACTCAATTTCTCAATGCAGACCCTCTTAGTTCAACTTCAAACTATACAATTTCAACAGTTGTAGTTAAGTTGAAGTGTTTTTTACAAAAGTGAAAGTCTTGTGCTCATCTCTATGTCAGTGCTTCACTTGACATGGCAAAGGCAAAATGATAACCTACATTGTTCTAGCCTTCTAGTTGGGTTTGGATTTGCAATTCACTGGATTTCACATTTTAATGATTGTAATTTGTCTTAAAGATGATTGTTCTTCATTACAATAAGGGTCCTGAAATGTAGATATGATAAATGTATTTATATAACATTTGTAGGACCTAAGTGGAAGATTGCCTTTATTATGGTCCAAGAGCTTAGATCCTGGTTAGGTTAGATTACAGGGGCTGGACCTTGATCAAGTTAAGATATTTCTTACCTCAGGAATTAAATTAAAATTGGCTCCATTCTTTCTTTGATAACATGGTATTTATCAAGTACAGCAATGAATATTTAATAATGCAAACATTGTATTTCCATTTTATGCGTAGTCTTAATAAAACTTGTGCAAAGAAATTGGAGATAAAGTTGTTTTGGCCTGATTTCTTCTTATGTTTTGACTAGAAGAATTATCTCATGATGCTGACATGATAAAAAGGGGGAAAAAAGAGAAAGCATGAACAAATCAAATTTCTCCAATTTCCTCATCTAGTGTTTTTCCGTTTATTTTTTGTAATTTCTAGAACTATTAAATCAAAATATGGTCCCTTCGTTTTGTGATGTTGTGGTACTTGTCAAGTATAGGCATCAGACAGTGTGTCACCATTTTATTCTTAGAGCTACTCAACTTCTATGAGGAGTATTTGGATTAGTTGTCTCATCCTGAATTTTCTCATTGATTGACTAGGACCCTCAGTATTACCTATTGGTTCCAGATGCAATAAAAAAGAGAGAGAAAACATGGACAAAGAAACCAAATTTCCTAATTCCTCATTCAGTGACAATTTTGTAAATTTTAAAAATGGTCTCTTAAGTCTTTTATCTTTGGCTCCATGTTTGTCATAAAAATCCCTGATTGTCCCAAGAATCCCTTTAATTAGTCTAAAAGTTGCAAAAATTTGAAGGGTCTTATTAGAATTTAGAGAAGTTGAAATGGTAAGTTCATTACTTATTTTTTTTTATAGATTCATTTTCACTTTAAAAATTGTATAATAGATCACACCCATGTAAGGGGACTGTAAATTGGGAATATACAGAAAAAGCTGCCAACACCCCATTTTCCCTTACCAGTTACCCAAAAAGATTTTCGTTAAAAGGAAAAGAAGTATGTATTCCCTTTAAACAATTTAAGGATTCCTAAACATGCATACAGCATGCCTTGTAAATTAATTTCATTCCTGACTTTCTAAGCTTTTTGTGTTTTTGATTTTTATGTCATTATTTAGGCTTTCAGTTGCCTATTCAGTGAGACAATTTTTTTTAATCGTGTGTTTTTGGAAAGTTATGGTATTAGTGAAGACCCCATATAGTTGGGATATGGCTTTAAATAGAACAGATTGATGAAACAGGATTCATGTAGTCAACCCCTTATAGTTGGGATAAGGCATGGATGATGATGATGTGTTGGTGGAGACAATCATTTCATAATTAATAAGGAATTAAATATTTAAGAATCTGTTACTGGGTTTTGAGTTACTAATAAGTCCTAAGATCTTACCAACCCATGTATTTAGATTTAAAAATACTCCTTTTTAATTGAATATGGAGATTTAAATGGGATGGAATTGAATTGAGATTTGTGTTAGATGGTCCCAACCAATTTTAGTTCATACCAGGTTCTGATCGTGTGGTGTCCTTATTTTTTGGAATATTCTCGTAAGATTCATTGTTCCACAAAGTTGTGTTGGAACCAACGAAGAGAATTATTCATAAGAAAAGCCCAACAAAGAGTATTACACTTATATTATTATTGATAACGACTGCATTAATAATTAGTAACACACTTTGATCAATGGGTTACTGAGTACAACCAGTTATAATTTCGGCCAAGTTAGGAGTGGAGGGGAATTTGTTGCACCAAGACTACATCCAAATGTCAATTCTGGAAAGGGTTCATGGAGAAAACTCTATTGTTAAGAAAAACTCAGCTCCACAGGCACAGAAACTTCATTTTGTGAAAATTGTGGTTTCAAGTCGGTGCATCTCTTAAGCTGGGGCTGTTTGGTAGTCAAAGAAAGACACTTTAATTTGGAGTATATATACATCTATAAATCGGGTGTTATATGTTCTAAATAATGACTAGCTACATTTGAGATGTCCTTTAGATGAATCAAACAGTTGTATTGGTATTTGGTAATGGAACTGTGATTAATGTATGGACCTATATTGCCTAGAGAGGAAAAAAGCACTATTAACATCCATCTATAGTCGACTCAACCAGTAACATTTTTTTTTTGTCAATTTGTTCCAATCCAACGTGTATCCATGAATTTCAGTTTCATAAGATAAAGAGCTGATGCAACCAATCAAAAAAAAAAAAAAAAACCCAAAGAAGAAGAAAGAAAGGAAAATACAGAGCTGATTCAGTGAACTTCTGACTGAGGAATAGCTATAACCAAGAATTATTTCTGTGATGTAGTAATATGATTGTTGAGATCTCCAAGATTCACATTTCCCTCTTTGATTACTAGTTTGAACTGTTTTCTTCTTTATGATTGCTTTATCTCTGGAAGTTAAAATCTGCCCAGAACTTATCTTCCGGCATGGAAAACAGGTGGTGATGGCAATGAGATCTAATGGTGGAGAGGCGGCTGTGTTCCAAACCTTACATCGTGCTCGTGAGTTATACAGAAGTAAATTGCAAGCAAATGCTGCTGTTGATGAGTTGGCTTCTTTATTTGCAGAATGTGCAATTGCGGAAGCATGTCCAATAGAATCCAGCAGATCATCATCATTTGCTTCGGTCTCAGTGGGGCCATCGCCATCCATCATGTCAGACGTTCATAGAAACTCTATTCTTGCCAAAACTGGTAGGGAGCAAATTGTGTTAGATGCCTTTTCAGATGGGAGCAGCTTCATATGTTTACAGTGTGGGGGCCTAGTGAGTAATCATCGCAAAGAGGAGCACCTTGCGTATTGGTGTTGCCAAATCTAACCATGGAAAGGTATTGATATTTTACACAGCTTAGCCTCTGCATAATTGGTTTGGTGAGGTCAAATATGACGATGATATGGCAAGGTTACATGGGTTGAATACCTATTTTGCATAATATGTAAATGCTTTTAGAAATATGTATAATTACCATATTGCTTTCATAATTGTATTTTGCTTTCTTGCTTGTGTGCTGAAGATGTCAGCTGAGTTTCGTTTGGCATATTATCACCGCTTCAGTTTAAAGTCAAACTATCTCTAGTCTCTTTGGAGGGAGCGAACTTTCACGGATATATCTGTCTGTAAGACTCTTTTCATGTCTTGTATCTTGAAGGGCCAGTAATGTGTTGGTAAGAGGAACTTGAGCAGCTTAAGTCAATGTTTCTCGTTCTCGCTATTTATAGAAGTGCTTATGATAAGGTGAATGGGCACTTGCGAGCCACCAGTTTTGGTGCATGTGAAATGGGATGTTTTCATTTTTAATTTGGCCCCCATTCACCTAAAATGAACCTGAAGCAATGTTTTGATAAGCCCAGTAAAGGTGGGTTTCAGGCTTTCAGCCTGAGATTTTACCAGTTCAAGTAATGAAGCATCGATCCAGATAATTCTAGTGAATTCTCCTGTTACATGTTAAAGCTCCGAAGCAATGAAGTGGCATGAAATTTTATTGTATTGGTCTATGTACGAAAAAAGATTTGTTTGGATTGCACTAGTAAGGAAGTGATTTGTTTGTCTGTTTTCAGTTTCGTGCGTCTTTCTTTGCCTAATAAATATCCGGCGGTCCCCAGTTTGAGTAACTACAGGTGTCAATGGACTCATAATTTCTATGCCCGATTCTTCCAATCCAGTTATCCTTCGGATACTTTGGATGTTAGAACTTATATCCATATTACATATATAAGTATATATATCTAATTATATACTCTGATGTGGGAAAGACTTTTGACCAATCAAATCCTCTGAATTTTAATGAACACCCATTTGATTGGTTGTCACTTTTATGATTCCAGTTGATTGGCTATAAGTTTTTTGGCACCATTTCTTTTCAGCATCATAATTGAACATTTGAATCCATACATTTACTATACTTGTGAAAGTAAAATAAGTATATATATTTTTTAATTTTTAAGTTCTTTTTGTCATTTTAAATACAGTAAGATGGTTGCAGATTAAATTTGAATCCAATTTGAGTCCAGCATTTTAGAGATTTTGGATAGCATTTGGATCTAAACGTTTGAAAATCAGATTACAGCCCTGTGAGTAACCATGTGAACAGTGTGAAGTTAGTCGTTCATTGACTCAAGAGATGAGGCATTTGTGCTGTTTGGGTTTGATAGAAAATAAGAGAAAAAGAAAGTTATCAAACCAAACATAGCCTATATTTTTCCCTTTTATTTTTTGGGCTAATGAGCGATGGAAGAAGTTAGGTTTACACAGTTTACTGAGGTGCCGTTTGACAAGTCTTTTTAGAAAGATATTCTAACAGTTCATATGGCCCAAAGACATACTAAGCTTCCAAGGCCTTGCCTTTAAAGATCAAGACTGTTTGGGTAAGTGCCTCAGTCTATAAGACTTTCAAAAACACATTATTGCATGAAAAGACGTAAAAACTTCATTTGAAGCTTTGTGACATTCACTGATTTCAATTTTTTGGGCCCTTTTAGGCATGTATCTTCTAGTCTTATCTTTCTTTTTCTTTTTTTTTTTTTTGATAAATCCAAAAGGGGCTACACAAAATGGGGGGTAGAATGGCCCCAGCAATCACTAGACCTGGCAATTGGGTTGGGTGGGTCAAGGTACTTTAGGTTGATTTTGGGTCGGGTTGAATTTTGGGTTGGGTTGTTAAATGCTAGATCCCAACCCTAAATGTTTGGGTTAGGGTTGACCCATGGGTCAATTTGGGTTATCCCAAAAAATAATTGAAATTTAAAAAAATAAAGAAAAATTACATGAAAATGTCAAAATTAAAAGAATTAATTTTAAAATTCCAAATATAAATTAAAAAAACTTGAAACAATTTAAAGAGGAAACAATAAAAAGTAAAGACTAAATAGAAAAAATTAAAGAGCGGAAACTTTTAACAATGCATAAATAATCCCAATTAGACTTGACAAACGGGTCAGTGGGTTGACCCATGACCCAACCCAATCCAACCCAGTTTTTTTGGGGTTGGATCGGGTTGAGTCATTTTCACATTCGGATAGCTAAATATGAGACTCTAACCTTGTTTTTCGGGTTGGGTTGGGTTGGGTCAACTTTTTGCCAGGTCTAACAATCACTAAAACAAATAAAAGAGAGTGACCAAGGAAGGTCGTTAAGGTTATAGGAGACAGACCCATTTACTACAGTTGGGCGCTTGTGGAAATCAACTGCCTGGTTTGTTTCACGGAAGGACCAAGTTAGGCGCTTGTGGAAATGATTTCCCATCTCCCAACATCCTTGAATAATCCTTCTTAGTCTCCATGGAGGATTGAGTTGACGTTGCAGACTTTGAACACCAGCTTTGAGTCACCTTCAATAATAATGGGTTGATCCTTAAAGTTCATCACCACGTTGTGAGCTTCCCATGTTGCCCAAGTCTCAGCCAAATTGATGGTAGTAAGACCAAGGAAATAAGCTTTAAGATCCACTACCTCTCCTAAGTGATTCCTAGCTATGTAGGCTTTTGTTTGTTTGAAGCCTAAAAGGTAATTTCCATTCAACTAGTGCTAGACACATTAACACAAAATTTGCAGCTAAATGTGACAAACTGAGCACGTGGAAAACCTTCGTACGAGGCATTGCAATCCCTGATGGGGTTCCTTATCTTCCAACAGTGCCTTGATGATGAAAAGGGACTTTCCAAGAACTGTAGACTGGAGACTAAGCTCCAGTGAGCCTCTTTCTCAATGGCTGAACAGCCATTAATCTTAGGGGATGTTTGGAAGTGTGGCTATTTTTTCAAAAAAAAAAATAGTGTCACGTTGGATCCACATAGGCGTTTCAACAAATGCTCATGTATATCATTGTTTGGTTCAGTCGATTATTAAAATATCGGGCATGCCTCGAAAACTGGGATATTACTGACACATGAAATGCCAACGGTTGACTGATGTGTATCCTATGTGGTGCTTACCTGTCAGTACATACATGAAAAACAGTGATAAAAATCACCTTACTAAACAGTATACTGTTGCTCACTGCCTACGTGGCAGAAGTGTGGATCTTAGAGGCATGAACATTTTTTCTTGAAAATCAGTCCCAAAAAGTGTCCGCACTTCCAAACACCATGTTAACTGTTCTTCGTTTCTTTTGTTTATTTTTGTCACGTACTTGACATCTTACATTCTGTAAGGGAAAAAAAAGTTTGGAGAGCCTCATTTTGATATGGTATCACTGTTTCTTCATAAATTGATTCGTTCTATCGATGCAAAAAAAAAAAAAAACTTTTACTTGGGGATGAGTTGAAGATCGAAATGGGGTTTGTGCAGGGAATAGGAAGATCAACCATCTATGCTTTATGAAACCAAAAAATGGAAGGCCCAACAAGGGTTGGTTGAGAAAAGAGCTGCAAAACTAGGGGCTGAGACCCTTTGATCTGGTAAGCATACATATGCCACATTTAGTCCCGTTCCAGGAAAATGAAAACTGATAGCCTTTTATTTGAGCTCCTTGTCATGATCTCAAAAATGATTTCGATTGAATGACCTCTACCACACCAATCATTTGGATTTATATACGATATTTAATACAATATGTTCAAATTAATGGAGATGTGGATCACTCTTTTTTTTTCTCTAATTTTTTTATATGAAAATTTATAGCATTTATTTTACACATGAATATTTAATTTGTAAGACATTTATTTTTTTATTTTTAATATTATTTATTAGTGATGCGGCCAAATGCCAATCTTTAGCTTGGAGGGTGGTAGGACTGTAAAGCATCAGATCAGGTTTAGTAAAGGGTATATCCATCCAATAAGAAATCCAAATATCCCAATTTGATAAGAATCTGTCGGATTTTCAAGAATATGATTTGAATTCTAATAAAAGAAAATTGATGATATAATATAATTAATATATTATATTATTTACATAATATATAATATAATAAAATATTATAATATATAATATATAATTATATAAACAATATATAATATTTCATAACTAATGGATTGGATAGAATTGTAGCAGTTCAGATCATGGTATAATCAAATTCGATCGATTAACTATAAGGATCGACTTTTCTGATCCAATCTGATTTCTTAGGATCAAAGAGGTATCCAAATCCAATTCTTATCGGATTGAATTTGGATCCGAGTCAGATATGATCTGACTTATTAGCAGCCCTAGAGGGTAGGGGTCTTCTACCAACAAAGCGCTCCCAATACTGTCCTAATATGCCACTGCAGTCAGGAACATCTTCATTATCATTCACTAAAAGATGTTTCCAATATATTTGTGCAACTTTGGGACAGTGTTGGGAGTAGATCTGAGCTCTAGCTTAGAATCCCAATGGGCCAATCAGGCAAGAGTTCTTTGATGTCCATATGACATTATGCCAACTCAATTAGTTGGGTTAAGAACAAAGCAGTAATAAACAAACAGAGCGTTTCTCCTTGGAACCTATATGAAAGGTTCTAAGGAGAAACCTATATGAAATTTCATTTCACAAGTCAAATTCAAAACCTATATGAAAGGTTGGTAAGACTTACCACATGCATTGCATATTAGGTCTTCTAACTTTAGTTTCCAACTCAAATAGAAAACCGGAATCGAAGGACGCATTTCATCAACCTCTTGTGCTGGACTCCCCATTCCCCAGTCAATACTTACCTGTAGTTGATACATGTCAGCTTCCCAGAATCTAGTAATGTTTGGCCCTAATTAGCATTTTACACTTCTTCAGGGTTGTGGGTCAATGGTGACTGGATCGAACAGTCCACATCTCCATTATTCTTACCTTGCATTCTCCTTGACTCTCTCTCCTCTTTCCTTCCCACCACTCCCATTTTGCCAATTCAACACCATTTCTCTCGATTCCTTAATTAATTCAATATATTATCTATAATATCTCCCTCACAACTACTCACGTCTCTCACTCTCTTTTCCCACATAACTAGTCTCCTTAATTAGCTCAATTCATTCTCATGATGCCATGTCACCACCCTTTTAATATTGGTAACCAATTAACCTCCATTACATTTCCATATTAGGATAGTTTATCTCATTAGTGAGATATACATCCCATAGAGTAGGACTAGTATTCCTTACAAAATTGGATAAAGTATTTTGAGAAGATTTTGAACAATCTTTCATTTCCATATTCTTCTTCAATTGCTAAACAATATGAGTTGCATTAAAATCTTGAGTCAAAACCTTGAAGACCCCATTCTTGGGTTGTATAACACCAATGATTTACATAATTAGCACTAAATAATTTAATTTGTTTTATTTACATAATTAACAGTAAAATGGTTAATTATAAGTTTCCATAATAATTACTCAATTTACACTAATGAATTTACTGAATTTTTAACACTTTAAACCTTTAATTTATTAGGTTGCTTAATAAAAATTAGTTATATTGTTTAATTAACAAAATTACTTAAAATGACAATTTTCCCTATCATCGTTGGGTACTCGACCTCCTCGATCCATTGGGGATTAATAGGGTGGGGATAGGGCAAGGGTGGGAATGGAGATCAATAGGGATCCCTAATTGGGGATGGGGACGAGGATGGAGAGTGAAGTCCCTGAC